CCATGACTTCTCTTCTCCCAAGGAACCGAACCCCAAGTTGCTGCCTCAGGCAGCAGTGGCCATTGGCGATGACTGCGTCCAGTCATGCCTGAAAGAGAGGGATACAGCAACGGCAGCTGATTTTTAAATGATTGTGTAGAAAGTTAAATGCATGTTCATTTGGTATGCTGCATCACCCCTGGGGGGTGCCAGAAACCACCGGCTATTGTAAAACCAGAATTAGTGATAATATGAGGGTTTTAATGGGAGGAGAAAAGAATGTCAAATAGTTTGGAACAGTAGAGGTAGAAATGAGGATAGGCGAAAATAAAAAGCACGGCGTTTAAGTACGCTATTCAGTATACAAAGCAGCGCGCATTTTGAAAGACGGTGTGTCGTAAAATGTCTAGCGAGGCGCAAGCAACAGTTATGCGATTAATTTACCGAAACTTTAACCAACAGGCAATGGCTAATAGTGACTTAGTAAAAAATCAATTGACTTAAACAGTAAATTACATAAGATCTAAGCAGCAATTGGCACAGATCCATAGAGGCCCTTTAAGGGTCTGTATTGCTACATTTTAAAGTTTTACTATATCGAATTTCTGCCTATCCAACCATTTTTCTTCATCATTTTAACCAATAAGAGTTGTCCAATATCCTGATTGGTCAATATGCATCCTTGAATGAACCAATAGGAGTCTATGTTGGTCCATCTTATCCTCCCCTGATACATCTCACATATACATATTTAGCACATTAAAACAATTACAACCGGCTTTAATTTATTTTCTACTGTTCACTTTCCGCGCAGTTAGCACACACTACATACTCCCTCTTTAGGCATAAAACCTTTAATAACGATTTCCGTAAGAAACTTGGGCAGGGGGCTTTCACAATTTAGCAGTCCCACGATGAATCGCTATGCAATCACAAGAACCAACTCTACCTGGTTATCCTAAATAATAGTCATAATAACCAAGTATAACAACTCAGACAATAGTGCGTAGTCCATACATGAGAACGTGCCTCTCCATAATCAAGAAGGCGCTACTATAAAATAACACAGCTGTACTTTTGATTACACAAGTAAAACTGAACGCATGCTCGGATCGCATATAAACATAAGCTGGCTGTGCAACGAACTGTCGCAGGTTGTTATCCACACATACGAAATCGGTCATGATACCAACTCCCCAGTCGTCAAAACGCCCACGTCGGAAACAAGGCAGGCCTAGAGTTGCTTGAAGCCTGGTTTATAGATCAGAGCTCAATCAATCGATGTATCGATTTGGCATCGGCGTGCAGAGCCCCGCGCGGTCAACTCCAGACTTGGCTCACTGATTGGCTTGCACCCCCCATAATTGCCGCCATTTTGCTACTGCTGCTACCTCTGACGAAGAAATGCACGAGTTCGGAAGCTCAGAATAATAAACAAACTGTTCCGGTGAACGACCAGTCTTTTCCTTCACTCATGTTAACACCTCGAACGCGAACCTTCATATCTCATTCCTGTTTTGTGCTGTTTGGCACATATTCTGTCAAGAAAGCGAGCACGGACACCAATCCCAGGAAAATCACTGTACATCGAGCGTCGGGTTACAGCATTCCCAAAAGGGGTAGAAGTCAGATCGACTCAGCGTGTTGATCATTCCATCAACTGACAGACCTCCCCCCGCGAAAAAGCCGTACCTAGTTCTGCTTTGCACACAAAATCCACTTCCCTTGAAAAAGGCCTTCGTCCAGGGTACCAGGTGAAAGGGGAAGGGACAGCAAAGCAATAAGAGAATAGCGGTGAAAGACTAATATTAAGTCAATTGACAGACGATGAATCATTCGGTTTGGGTGCGTAACTTACAGACCAAAAAAGGATAAAAATTTAAATAAATATCTGTAAAATATTTCGATAGGCCAAAACAATGTAGAAATCAGAACATTTGGTGGAATCTGCACTGGAGGGCGAGTTTTATTGCTCCATCCATCGGCGGAGAATTTCCCCCAACCCCTTGGGACAAGGCGTTAAGTAACCGGCGTCCGCCGAGTGCGTCTTTCGATACCAATAAAGCAAAAGGCACCCACTGTGGCTGTGGCAGCCAATATGAGGACTTGCCAGTGCAAAAGAAGGTGTGAACTGTAGAAGAAGGCGATTGCCGAAGCGACGGACTACAAGACGCAAAAACATACTACAGAATGATTTGATAGTAGCTGGGTACGAGCAGGTAAAAAAATCCATCTAATCACGCTAGAAGGCATTCTGAAGTGGCATTGAATGAGGATGAAGCCCACTGAAAACACAAGTCACCTAATCAATTTTCGAGGTATGAAACACGCGTCTGGGATTTTGTCTAGTACCTGTGCTTAATTTTAACAGTATCAACTCACAACATCAAGAAAAAGGACACCAACCTGAACAAATTTAAAGAGTGCGAAAGCTGCTGCTGTGTTGTTTGAGGCGTCAGGGTAAATACGACCAATCAGCGCAGATATTTGCGTATTCCACACTGAATCAACGATACCCAATAGTAAGGCAGTAGTCATGGCCACGTAGACACTAAAGGATGCAAAAAACATGCCACATTTAACAAGTTACTTTTTGAAATTTACGTCAAGGCAAGACAACAAGGGCAGGATTAAGCAGTAGTTTGTACGCTCACTCCTAGTAAATCTGCCTATT